GCGCCGCTTGAGCCGTGTGACGTAGCATCTCGGGATGCACTAGGAAAGAGTGTACACTTGTCAAACGGTGGGTTGAAGACCCCTGATGCCAGCATCTATATAATACTATACACGTGCACCCTTTGACACACTATATTATGCTATCATGCAGATACTGTGTCATTTAAATATTTATCGATTATACAAGGTTTATCCGGAAGCAATAAGTCATCGCTGATTGGCCAAAAGTCGGACCGAGTGGCAACGTGTCGAACAGCGAGATGACGGAGGCGCCGGCGGAGGATCGCCTGCAGGAATGCGAGGCCCAGCTCGAGTCGATGGAAGTCTACGAGAAAGGACAAGTGACCGCGCTACTGGTGACTGCCAAGGAGGCCATGGCCGTCCTCCTTGCAGAGAATCTTGCCATCGAAAGCGCGTTGCCTGCTCTGCAGGCGAAGGAAAAGCACCACATCGCGCAGCAGCACGCGCACATGCACGAAGCAGCCGACTCTGCCGCCGTCATTGACGCTGAATTGAGCGATCTGCATGCCTACACGGGCGATCTCTGCGCGCTCATTGCGCCGCAAAAGAGCCGCTTGGTGCACTTGCAGCGCCATGTCGAGTACCTCAACGTACTCCTCGAAGTCGAGACCATTAGCACTCGCGCCAAGGACACCACCAACGGTAACATCGACGGCTGCGTTTCATGCATGTGATTTACGACTCGTAGGCGACATTGACTCGCTCGTGGCGCTCGCGGCCATCAACGCCAGGCTGCCGACGCTCTTTGGTCTCGAGACCAGTTTGCACTTGAAGTTGCGCGTACGCCCATGTCACATCTTTGCGTCTTGTGCTCATCCGTGCATAGACTCTCATTACAGATCGCATGGCGTACTTGGCACACGCGTTCCAAGCGTTCCACACCGAACAGCTCGAGAGTATCTTGGGCGACCTCGACTGGCCGCGTCCGCTGAGCGACGCCGACCGCGAGACGATGGTTTTGCTAATTGCGACGCCCTGCACAACGCTGACGATAGGCATAGGCCGACACGTGCGAGGCTTTTCGCGCTACGTTTGCCCGCCTCGTGCAGCTGCAGCTTTCGCTGGCGTCCGTGGCCATCGGAGACAGCTCGGCGACGGTGCTCATTTGAAATACGCCAACGCCATTGGCTGAGCTCTCTCGTAGGGACTCGACCTGTGGGCCATCGAGTGCCTCCTCTCACCTCTTGTACAGCGCTTTCGGTATCACTTCGACACTCAGCAAAAGACGAACGACGTCACCAAGCCCGAGTGGTTCTTTACGTACATCCTCGAGACCCTCCAGTACACGTATGCCCGAGGATGGGACCCTAACCTCGGTGCGTAGTGGGCACTATACCTTTGTTCAAACGTGCGTGGCGCCGGCCCTGCGCGACGCGACAGCGTCAATGCCCGACACCAAGCACCCGCTGGATGCGATGGTAGCGTCGGTTTGCTTGCGTGCACTGACGTTCACTGTCTGTAGTCGCTCTTCATTCAAGGGCTTTTGATGCCGCTGCGACACAAGGTCTCGGCGCTGCTGCCGCTCGTGGTGGAGGTATCGCACGGATGTAATGAGATTTGCATCCTACTGATGAGCTGCTAGAGCAAGCCGCTGCTGTGCCACGCGATCGATGAAATCGTTGCGTTTGAAAAGGTGTGCATATGTCTCTGAGCGCCGACTAAGATCTCTTTTTTCTCAGACGCTGCGGGACGACTTTGGCTACGTGACTGTCCAGCCGCACCAGCAGTTTAAACGCGCGCGCATCCCGACCGTCCTCGACCTCGTCGCACAATCGCCCAAAGTGTTTGGCCTCTGGACCCAGATGGACCGTGAGTACGCGCAGTCCTTTCTGACTACGTACCTCCAAGACGCAACAGCGTGGGACCTCGTGCTCGATGCGAGTGATGACGACCTCCGCGTCACCAATGCCGCGTACGCCGCCGCCTCGTGCTTGGACGCGCTGAAACAGCGGTACCGACATCGCTAATGTCCTGTCCTGAATTTGTGATCAGGTTCCAAGGGCTCTCGGACCCCGCGCATCGCTATGCGTACGTTGTACAAGTGCTCAAGCCGTTCTTGCAGCACTCGTACACGCTCTTTGCGACGTATGCCAAGACCCAAAAGATCTATGCAGCCATGCACGCGCCGTCGGTGCGCTCGTCTGAAACGTGGGATGTGTCATCGTGACGTGTCCTCTTAGGACCCGACGTGGCATCGGTATTGCGCCGCCGTCAACAGCTGCCACTTTGTGCGGCTCGTGCTCACCGAGTGGGACGAGACGGCGCTGTTTGTCGAGCTCTTGCAGATGGCAAAAGCCGCCAAGATCCAGCGCCCTGCGTTGCGCCTGCGTCTCCCGCAAGTGCAAGGACTCGCGCATCTCAACCCACTCCTCAAGCGCGAAGAAGCCCAAGTCGTAACGAACGCGCTTTTGGGTCCTGCGTCGCTCATTGTACCCACGGCTGCACTCTCGGCTGCCTTCTCAGTTGGCTCGGTACGTGGTACCACGTGCGTGCGTTGACCTCACTCGGTGATTAGAGTGTGTGGCAGTCGCTCAAGGCGTCGCCGGACGCCGTGACGCCCCACGAGGTCGTCCCAGACAAGGACGCTGGCAATGACGACAGCGAGACTCTGGTACTGGAAGGCTCCATGTTTGAAAACGAAATCACGCTCTTTCGAACGCTCGTCGAAGCACTCGAGGCCGACCTTCTGACTGCCTCCGTGACGGCCATTGTCGGCGCATGGGAAACGCGGTACCGAACCAGGTACTCTTGTCCTTAAGAACCACGCGTAAGACGCCAACTCTAGTCCGCTGTGGACGACGACACAAGCGCTCGAGTACATTGTGCAAGACGTATCGTGTGAACTCGGCGACGGCTTGCGACTGCTGACGCAGCACTTGGTACATCTGTTGCACGATGCACTTCGGCGTAGTGACAGTGCATTAGGCACAAGCTCAGACGGCGCTCTCGTCGACGCTCTTCCAGACGTATTGGAAGCACGTGGCGACCGAGCTCGACGGGTACCTCCTCAACAGTATCTTGCACCACAAGGTAGGCGCATCGTTCCTAGCTCCTCGTAGTCAGGAAATGATGTAGACCATCTCGGCGCCCGGCCGCGCCCAGCTCGCCGTCGATGTGCAAATGATCGTCAGCGTCTTCCGCCCGTACACGGCCAAGCCCATGGCCTACCTGCGCGGGTATGACAGAAGATGACATGTTGGGAATTGAAGGATATATGCAACTAGGTCGAGTGACGCGGTGACCGTGCTGACGATGGACGAGTCCAAGGCCGACGTTCTCGCAGCGGCGCTGTCGCATGGGAAGGATGCGATGGAGCAGCTCACGACGATGCTAGAGGCCAGTCATATTCATGCTCTGCGTCCGAGCCAAGTGCTTTTGCTTTTGCGCGCCTGACGAGCCGCGTGCACGCGCGACCTTGAGCTGCTTGTTTTCGGCTTCCAATAATGCATTTTGAACGTTGCTCTCGGCGAGGAGCGCCTCGAGCTCGGCGACGGTCTGGCCGTCCTTGGACGCGCGATATGTGTGCACGTCGATCAACTCTTGCTGCAGCGTTGCGTTTGTTTGCCGGAGCGACTCGAGCGATGCGCGGAGCGATTCGACGTCGGCATCGAGGGCCTTGGCACGGGCGTTGGCCTCGCCTGTCTCGTTTGCGGCAGCGGTCGCGTCGGCGCGGGCGGCCGCTACAGCCGCATGGAGCGTCGCAATCTCAGACTCGAGGTGGCGGGTCTTGATCGTGGCTGCCGTGTTGGCTTGGAGCAGCTCCTCGTTCTCGCCGTGGAAGCGCTGCAAGGTCGATCGAAGCACTTCTAGCTCCATCTCGAGATGGCGCAGCCCTTGGTTTTCTTGGCGGATCATGCGCAAGACCGATCGTAGTGTCTCAAGTTCGAGTTGCAGCTCTTTTGTCGACTCGTCCGCGACGGGCGCGGCTGCAGGCACGCCTCGTGGCGCAAAGTTGATCGACCGCGACTTGGTCGTCGGCGACAATGGCTCGTTGGCTTGCAGAAGGAGGCTTATGGTACTGAGCACGTGGCGGCTCAGCGTCTGGTCAATCTTGGCCGCGACAGGGTCGACGTAGCCGTAGAGCGACCCGAGCCAGCCGGTCGCGTTCACGCGCTTGGCGACCGACTCGGTCGCTGTCAAGAGATGGCCCACGACCGGGTACTCGTGCTGCTTGACGCTCGAGTAGGTTGACGTCGCCTTCTGCTCGCTCCAGCGCAGGAGCGCGCGGAGGATCTCGACCTCGTCGCCCGTCGCCTGCAGCACCTCGTGGAGGTTGCTGGCCTGCGTCATAAAGATTTGGAAACGAAAAAACCGGAATGAAGCGATGCCATGATGCTCCCGTGTCACGTCTTTATCCGGATATCCGGATACGAAACCGACACAGCTCGCGGAATTTCCCATGACCGTCGCACGTGGCAGCGCCGATGGAGCTCCACACGGCCGTTCCCGCCCAGTGCGTTCTTCCAAAGCATGCAATACTCTAGAGAACGCTACATTGTCTGAGGCGTGACCAGACTCTGGACCGAAATGTGGTTTCGTATGCAATTGCATCTAGATTCGACGTCACAACCACTTGATACGACTGACGCGTGCGAGCTATTGCCGTCGAGCGTCCAGGCAGTTGTATCACATGCACAGCTTCTCGAGGTGCCACAAGTCGAGTCACGGGGCGATCTCGTGGTCACTGGTAGGCCGAGAACCTTTGTGTCTTCAGGAGATATCGAATTACATTGGGTCAAAGCTGATAAATTTTAAAAATGAGTAGCCTCGCGCCACGACTTCAACTACGTGGCACAATAGAAGCGGCAAGCGGATGCAACGATCTTCTTGTTCGCAGCTTCAACGCAGTCTTCGGGGTGTTGTACGGTCCGTTCTCGCCTGGAGATTGATTGCCAATGTAGGCAAAGTCATTTGCGTTGTCAAACATGATGACGTGCGAGGACTATACCTGTACCTGAGGGTCCCTCTCGAGGTACAAGCACACGGTGGACTTCTGTTCTGCACGCGCTGTGCCCCTTCAACGAAGAAGCTGGAGCACGCTTGCGACCGTAGATTCGGCGGCTGCAGCGCGAAGAAACTGCAGGCGCAAATGACATAGCTGTCGGCGCCTGATACGGGCGTCAGGGACATGGACTTTGATGCTTCTATACGACGTCAAGGACAACTGCGTCGTCCAAGTATGCAGTAATGTGTTGGCGCCACGTCGACAGTCGATAAAACCAGAGTCGTGTGGCGCGCGTCGAACGAGATTCAAAATCCGTTGAGATTGAGATTGAGATTCGAGGTGGCGGAAAACTCTTGGGAGATCAGCCAGCAACAAGTGTGGTCGACAATCACAAGTCCAACAAAATTCAAAAGGAGCTTCTTAACTGCGTTTTTGGTCCTTGCCTTGGCCATGCAAGGCATACATGTCGGCTATAAGAGGTCTATAGCGGAATACCGGCCTGTCGGCTAGAAAGGCCGGAGAGCTGACAGTACACTGTAGTGCAAAACCCAACTCTCTCGTCGCTATTTGAGCAGACGAGCGATGTCCCTTATCATGCGTCAAGAAAGCATCAAGTAGCTTAGTTAATCGTGTTTCGCCGGCGTGAACCGGCGTGGAGGCAGGTCCATTTGCCCTGGCGCTACCTCACGTGATGTAATGCAGTTGGGTGGATGAGCATGCACCAGGTGGCCAGGGTGACGTTGCGCTGTGCTTCGCTGAAAGCCTCGCCAGTGTACACTTGTCATTCAAGCTCTTGTTCAATAAACTTCAACCCACCGAAGCGCAAGCACCATCCTATCTCGCGCGCAACCCAGTGCACACAAGGGGCAATCGAAGTACAGGATCATGTCAACATCCACATGCAAGGACTGTCTGCTCACGATGGCGCGAAGTGCCCATCTGTCTTTTCCTGCAAGAGTGGTCGCTGCCTCTGCAGCTAGGTGTCATTTCGCCATATCGCATCATGGCGTCAACCAACCCGTCCATGTCCTCGACGCCCATGTCGCGGCGGTCGATCCCGATCCTGTCGGAAGCCAAGCCGATGCTCGAGGAGAAGCGGTTCGAGGCCACGTACCGCCACGCGTGGCCCCTCCTTCTTGGCCGTGCGTCTCGCTTCGTCTACCATAGGCACTGATCCGGTTGTCTAGTTGCGATGCTCGCCGGTGTCAGCTACGGCTTTGCAGGCCTCGTCCAAACTTACTGCCTCGACGAGCCACTCCACTCGAGCGCATACGCCGAAGAGAACGTGCTTGGCGAGAGCTGCTTGGCCGTGCACCACGAGATTCCGTGGCGAGAACTCGAGCGCAAAGTGCGCAAATGCCACCGGCACGAATACTACGTACGCTACCAACTCTGTCGCCGCAACTCAATCCAAACGTAGGACCCGATGCACGACGACTGCCAAACGTGCCCCGCGGCGACGCCCAACGACCGCGTCTTTGCCGTCTTTTGGGAAACCCAAAAGGACTGCGCCATGGTATGTGCACGCTGCTGCTGCCGACCCATTGAAGGGCAACGCCATGCTTCGTAGCTCGTCAACGACCCGAGCACGCGCTACGTCACGCACGTCTACTGGGCCTTTGCCACGGTCGATGAAAAGGGCAATGTCGCGCAGTCCCTCCAGTATTGGGACGACGCAGCTATCATGCACTGCATGGCCCAGCTTCGCATGTACGAAATCGCACCGACGACCACAAATGGAAGTCGCGCTCCTCATCTGATGTGCAATATCCAGGCGCTGCATCAAGCAACTCGTCAGTATTGGCGGCGCTGACTCGCGTCACTCGTTCTTCTCGCTCCAAGAGCCGAAAGCCCTTGGTCGTTTCCTCCAGTCGTCCATCGACGTAGTGAAAAAGTACGAGTCCCGATCGACAACAATCGATCGATCGACGGGTGGCGTAGGTTCGACTTTGATGGCATCGACATGGACGATGAGACGGGCAACTCCCATGAGGCCCGCAACGACTGGCTCAAGAACCAAAGCCCGACAGTGCTCAAGTACCTCGCCGGTCTCCGTGACGGTAATATCGATATTTCGCGAATGGCAAAGAGAATAATGCTATCGGTGTAGGTATGGAGGCGATTCGAAAACCAACCGAGCCCAAGTACTTGCTAACGTGGGATGAGTTTCCGACCTCGTACGACCAGCCGGCGCCCGGCTACGCAGGCTGCTCGCAGGTCTACGAGGGCGGGTGGCGGCGCTGCATTCCCAACGAAATCAAGGACCTTGTCGACTGGGTCAACATTATGTATTACAACATGCCGTCCAACGTATGCACGCTTCTCCTTCGTGCGGCGTGACGCTAATTGTGTAGGGCGACTACGACGAGATGATGAACCACCGCATCCCCAAGTACTGGGTCCCCGCGATTGGCGCCGACAAGCTCTTGCTCGGTGCGTGCAGCAGCCTCGGGTGTGTCGAGCCAATGCCGCCGCCCGGCCAAGCCTACAAGAACGCCTTCAATGGCTCTGCGCTGTACAAAGGTACTGGCGTCGGCTGGCATCCCTTGATATTGACTCGTTCCTAGGCACGATGCTGTGGAGTGGCACGAACGACCTTCTCTTCGACAAGGGTCACACGACTGAGGCCATGGGGCGCGCTGGCAACTATGGCGTGCGCATGCCGTACCGGCCGATTGCCACTTAGATTATAGACATTATTGTACCGAGTTGACTGCTATTAAAGCATAGAGCTAACATTATAGACAGTATTGTCCTCGCGATCGGTCCAGTGCGGCTTGCGTGGAAAATCCTGTTAGAGCATCTCCACCGGTTCCCCGTATCCCACACTGGCTCTGGGTTTTTTTACCGGGCGATTTCGCTCTGTATATCGCGATACAGAGCAAGATAAAACAAAACGCCCCACCGGTCGCCCTGTAAAAAGATGCCGGGAGTCGCGATTTGTATGGCGTCGATAACTTCGAACTTCGTCTTTAAATTCGATTTTGTATTCATTTTTTGACTAGTATACAAAATATGAGTCATTCGCGATTTTACCGGGTAAAAAGCCAGGGTGCCCGGGCGCCCTGTATCGGGCACCAGGATACAGGGCGCTCGGCCAATTTTTGCTCCACCCGGTAAAAATTATACAGATACAGGGCGATTTACAGGGACCGGTGGGGCATTTCCCCGGTATTTTTTTACATATTTGGAAATTTTACAGAGCCAGTGTAGGATAGCGCGGACGGGTGGAGAAGCTCTTAGCCAATCACATCGCGTTCTCCAAATTTCTGC